ATCTTTTCAAGATACATCACGCAGTTGATGGACGTCTTGTCTCCTGTCGCCTACTAGGCTCCCGACCTTCGAAAAGATGCGAACTGTAGCCTTCCCAGAGTCCCAAGCTGACCCCTGTCTTGGCGATGCAGCCCCGTCTGTTTGGCACGAGCTTAAGGTCTCCCTCCATACAGGGACGAGGCGGCTTTTGATTATACGATAAATCTGTGGGGTCTTATATTTCCCTCAAGTCGGAGTGAAAGGTTGTTTCTCTCAGGAAATAAGGGATCTTGTGGGTCTGTATAGTAATATATAGTTATTGCATCTCGAAGGGGGCAGTGTATAGTGGAATAGCCACAAATAACCGAGCATCCTAGAAAGGGAAATGAAGGCAGACTTCCTATTGAACTGGAGAAATATTTCGAATAGTATTATTGTATTATTCTACTTAAATCAGATCGGCATCCAAGGTGGTATTTGCCTGGAGTTCATAAGTATAAACACCCGCTGACGGCCCCTGGCGCCTCCAACTTTGGGAAATTTCCCCTCATTTTAAAACTACCTTCTCTTTTGTCGCCTCTTTGTTTATTTGACCGTTTAACATCTTTCTTGGTCGCGAATGGCCCTCTGACGTCTACGTCCCCACCAAATCTCAACGTGCGATCGGCCCTCAGGGCAGATAAGCTCCGCATTCGCATCTCCGCAATTGGTTTCACTCCTTCAACGCTGCATGTATGGCACGCAAACTGAGCCACCAGAGGGTCACCTATGGTAAGTGGGACCCTGTGTATCTCCTCTCAGATTGCTGACTGACTCCCTAGTCCTCCCTCTGCCTGATGCGCCAGGTGGCCACCGGTTGGGGGTCAATGGACTAACCGTCGACCGCCAAAACTCCATCCTGTAAGTATCTCCCCTTTATTATGCTGGGATCCATCTAGATTTGAACGGCTGCCACGTTTGCGCCCACGAACTTTTGGAAACCAGGCTCCCCAACACGTGGGTTGCACGGATACTAACATGGTGTCCCCTCTCCCAGCTACTCCGCGGGCCGCGACGGCGTCATCTGTTCCTGGGATCTGGACTTTCCTCTTCCCTCCTCGTCTGCCCCCGAAGATGCATCACCTCCTGACCGAAAGCCTAGACCGACCGGCTTCAAAACCCAGGTTCAAGCGCATAGTCACTGGATCAACGACATAGTCTTGGCACAGGACAACTCCGCTCTTGTTTCCGCATCGTCCGACACGACCGTGCGACTCTGGCGCCCGCATTCCGAGTCCACAGAGGTGCCAGAGCGCATTGGAAAACATACTGATTATGTGAAAGCCCTGGCGAGCCCCGGCAGCCACGCCACTTGGGTTGCCTCGGGCGGTCTCGATCAAAAGGTTTACCTTTGGGATTTGAATGGCGGCGGGGAGGTATTGAACATCAATGCTGGCGGAGAAGATTCCACAGATAAAGGGTCTGTGTATGCGCTGGGCGCGGTCTCGTCTGTGCTCGCTAGCGGCGGCCCTGAAAATGTCGTTCGAGTATGGGATCCTAGATCCGGAAAGCTTGTAACCAAGTTCGTCGGCCATACGGACAACATTCGTGATATTATGATTAACCAGTCCGGCGATACAATCCTGACGGGATCGTCTGACCAGACGATTAAGATCTGGTCTCTCACGGCGGGTCGGTGCATGAATACGCTGACCATGCACAATGATAGCGTGTGGTCTCTTTACTCGGACCACCCCGATCTTTCTGTCTTCTATTCAAGTGACCGATCTGGCTTGGTGGCGAAGACCGACATGCGAGGATCGGCCGATCCCGACCAGGGCATCAGCGTCGCCGCACTACAAGAACACGAGGGTGTTGTCAAAGTTGTGGCGGCGGGAGACTACATCTGGACTGTTACTCCCAAGTCTAGCATCCACCGCTGGCGAGATGCTGACACTACACTTGAAATCGAGCCGCCGCCAGACCCAGCCCCTACTACAGAATCTGCTACAGGGCCCGCAGCCGCTTCAGAGAAGGGACCCAAGAAGATTCCATATAATTCTGTCTTACAGTTGTCAGCGACCTCGATTCCCGGTGGCTCAGCCCGTAAACTGAATTCCACAGGGCCTAACTTGGAGGCAATTGGCCTAACGGTCCCGGTTCATTCACAGCCCGAGGAAACCATTGAAGGTCAACACGGCTTGATCAAGTGCTTGATGTTGAATGATCGGAGACGCACACTTACTCAGGATTCGGCAGGAGAAGTTGTTCTCTGGGACCTGTTGAAGGTAATTTGGTTACATCTCAGACGAGAAGTATACAACATCGACTAACATTAACCTAGTGTATCCCCGTCCAAAGCTTTGGCAAGCGTCATATAGATGATGTCGAGTCAGAGGTCAACACCATTGATAGTATTGGACATTGGTGTACCGTCGACGTGCGTACTGGCAGGCTTTCAGTCATTCTGGAACCCAATCGCTGTTTCGACGCAGAGGTTTATGCCGACGAGACCGATCTGCCACTATCCGATCTGTATCAGTTTAGAGACGATCAAAGAAGTGAGTATCCTTTCCCTTCAAACTATTTCTTTTGGTCTGCGGTCAACTTTTGGGAGTGTTATTTATCATACTGACAACACGTAGTCAATCTCGGTAAATGGATTTTGCGTTGGTTGTTCGCTCCGGTAGTGGACGAGGAACTCCGGCGAGACAATGAATACCGCCAAGCTGCCATCGCGAGAGCAGAAGAACATGCTCGTCTGAATCCGCCGAGTACATCGGTACCTGGCGATGATATCCCCCGCAGCGTTGGCATACCTATCTCGAATCCGAATCTGAGAACGAATCTGCGCCCCAGCTCAGAATTCCCTGGTAGCCCGGGCGTCGGCTTTGGAATCAATGTTGGCACACCATCTTCAAACTACCTGAGTACTTCTATGCAGAGCAACTCTCCGTTCCCAGGGTTTGAACCAGAAACACCTGATGCTGTGCCAACAAATTCCCATCTCGATGGCGCGCCATCATCCTTCTCATCAAGTGACTACTTCTCGAAAAGACCTCTGGTGGCTCCACAAACAGACACGGACAAGTCTCTTCTATCTCCGTCGGATGCAGCCTCAAATGCAGGAGTTCCTCAATCCCCCGCAGAGCCCGATAAGGAAGAGCGAAAGAAGGGTTCGCTGTTTGGAAAGAAGTTCCAAATGAATTTCCCAAAGAAGTTAGGTCGTAACTCTACGGAGACGAAGCCTCAGATATTGGAAGAAAAAGCCGAAGAGTCCGAGATCTCCTCTATTAAGGAAGAGAAGGTGTATGAGCCTAATCTCTGTGGCGTGGTTGACCGCATGCATGATGATTATGAAGAATTTCTGGCTACAAATCCAGGTCGCGATTTAGAGACGGCTCTTTTGCCCAGTGGTGAGGATGAAACTCCGCGACTGGATATTCCATCTCGAACTGTAGTCTTTATCCAGGAAGAAACTGGCGATACTGCCGTTGCCTCGGATCTGTACAGAGGTAGCGTGGACCGCATTGGCGAAGACCTCGAAAGGCTCAAGAAGTCAATTCCTCATTGGCTTGGTGAGCTTCTTCTAAAAGTAAGTTTGTTAGCTCGTGATATTTTGCTTTCTCTCTTGCTAATCATTCGTTATAGAATCAAATTCCCTTCAAGGACCAGGTCAAGATCGCCTTTGTATTGAAGCCCTTTGATGATACCTTGCCGCCAGTCGTCAAGCCCGAACCGTATGTTTTGGATCTTCTCTACCCTTGTAATGCGTGTTGCTGATGAAACTAATCTCGTTCATCCAGGCCGGCTCCTAACGGTGCCCCTCCGGATAATACGAACACCAATAACAATGGCTCTCGTCTCAATGCCAACCGCATGCTCCGGGCGAAGAAGATCCTCGCTTATGTCGCAGAGCGCATTGACCCTGCAAACCCGGATGAACCAGCAGAGTCCATCATGCCACCAGAGGAGTACCTCGAGCTCTACTGCCAGAAGATGGTAACTTTCTTTCCTTTCATTTTATACAGTCAGTCATACTAATCATCTTCCACCAGCTCTGTCCACCAAACATGACTCTAGCAACGATTCGCACGCACCTCTGGCGCACCTCAGGAGACATGGTTCTCTACTACAAGACAAACGGCAAGAAAGAGATTCACCCGCCTCGATCTCTCCTGGGAATTGATGAGGACCACGTCCTTGTGGAAGAAACCCATGTTCCGAACGGGGATAGCAATGCACATGCACCTCCTGGTAGTATCCATTCCGTGACCAACTCTGGCTCTATCGCAGGCTCTGCTATTACCTAGTGAGAAATACTAGCCCATCGGACCCTTCTGGTCTCCTATTTTTTGTTTCCTTTTTTCCTTGTTCCCTTTTCCTTTTCTTCGGACGGTACATTTGATATTTGGCCTACGCCAATCCTGTATGGATCTCTAGTACATATGGGCGAGATATCTATTTTTGCTTTTTTCTTCTTCTGTGTGTCACATCTCCTATATTTCTTCTCCTGTGTGTTAGCGCATCTGACTTGCTTGGATACTGCTTTGGGCCTTGTTTTTGGCTCGAAGCTTGCAGCTTGCATTCTCATATAATATTGTTGATGTTACCGTCAACATTGGCGAAGAATCGAATTGTCAGATCCTTCAGGATGATTATCGGTGGAGAGAGGAACGCCCGGCGTACTCTGTTGTAATTTCAATTTATTCTGGGCCCTCACTAACTACACGAATAGACCCAAGAGAAATTGGCGTACTAGCGAAATACCAATTTCGCTGATACATCCCGATTCTGATCAGGCTCCATTATTTGCTTTGACACATGAAACTCTGAGGGCTCTAAAAAAAAGGGAACAGTTGCATTGCATGACTATAGAAAACATGGACGATAATCATGACCCCAGGCTTGAACAACTATCACCCTATGCCTTATAAAAATCACACTATCTCTCCACCTGACAATCCTCCAAGTTCTCTATCAAACAGCCAGTTCCACCTCAATTTCCCCCCATCGCCCCCATCCCATCCCCAAGAACCCATTTAGGTACACCCCGAAGCACGATTGCTAAGACAAACATCACCCCCCTGATCCCCACTCCCATATCCCTCACAAGAAGCACTAGACTTTCCCTCGGCCCTAACCTCCTCATTACAAGCCGTCCAAGTAGTCGAGAAAAACCCAGCCCGAACACTATAAGTCGACCAACTAATACAGCAATTCGACCCACCCTGCTGCTCGCAATGACTGCGCGGCGCCTTCCCAATCTGCTGATCAAACTGACAAGTTGTACCGGAGATACAAGAAAACACAGTCCCACACGCACTCCACAGCACAGCATGTGCAGCACTAGTCGCGAAGCTCGACCGCTTCGAGATTCCCTTGGCCACAGTGCCGTTCCCAGCAACGTGCGCAAGCAATGAGTCCACGTCGCTCGCCATGTCGACGTCGTTCTCGTCGTATTTCTTTGCGTAGGCGGCTTCCGTTAGCATTCGTGCTTTTTCTTCATCCGTACTTGCTGAATGTGGGTTCAGGGTTGTGAGCCAGGACTCGGTGGCGGGGGAATAGCCCACGTAGCGGACGTCCACGTCGAAGGCGCTAAGGTCATCTTTTGAGTTTGGAAAGTAGTCGGAGGCTACGTGGTTGATGAGGAAGCTATTTGAGGAAGTTGAGGTTGAGGGTAGGGCGACGCCGGTTGTTAGATGGGAAAGACCCAGGATGAGGGTGGTGATGAGGGTGGTGGAGAGCATCTTGGAAAAGAAGATGGGGTTGGTTGAGTGGCTGTTGGATGATTCTGAAGATAGTTGCTTGGTCTGTTCTGGTAGGAAGCTCTCTTTGCTCCGTTCTTTCGAGGGTTTCTTATAGTTTGGGCTTCTGCCCGTATACCCAGTAAGATGCACCTGGCCGAGAAAGTTACCCTGACCAAAGAGGCAATTCCCATGCGGACGATGTCCGCTGCTCACGTTCCTCGCCTAAAATTGGATATCCGTGAGGTTACATTCACATCGATGGGAAATGCATGATGTCGTTAGAGCTTACTATTCCCATATCCCATGCCGACGAGACAGTTGACTTTGTGGGATTGGACTATTTGATTAGCACTAGTTGAAAGGCGTTGAGGGTGGCGGCGTTCCCTTCACTATGCATGGTGCCCGGCCAAACTGAGTTGAAAAATAGCGCTTATTATGGATTGCAGATCTAGTAAGCTCAAGGCGTGATAGTATAGAAATATCAGGGTTAAGGAATGAAAGCCAGGCAATGAAGGAGGTGTTCTGCATCGAGCAAAACTTGCTCTACTACATTTCTTATCTCTAATCAATGTACTCCATACTGCATATAGAATATAGTAGGAAGAGTCATAATATGGCACTGTCGAAACAAGGGAGTAAAAAACATGAAGCATGAATCAGAGACCTAGATCCCTGCATAATATGTTCGGCAAATTCCGCGTTCGGTATGCAACTCATTCTTAAATTAGCTTAGCCTCGAAGAAGGCAAAAATAAACTAAACTAAGCCTGCATTAACTAACTAGAGTAGCGATTGGCCGGTAACTCTTGAATAAGCTGCCTAGTTTAGGGCTGACACTGAGTGATCGACGAACTCCTGTTTGTCTCCCTATCCCCTGGAGATCAGCCGTCCTAGTTCCACGTGGCGTTTTACGCCCCGTGACTCAATCCCTAATCCCCTTCTCACTCGAGGTTGGGATCGAGGCACCCGCAGGAGTCTCGGCAACGTCGGTGCTCCTACATGAGCGGCACCGCAGCCGAGGTTTTCCATTTTTGAAATTAAAGGGCCAGTAGCGGGTCATCAGAAACACGCTAGTCGGGATAGAGAGCATCCAGATAGAGGCCAAGATGAGGAAGGTCTGGAAGGGGGCTGCGTCGAGTCGTTCACCGATGAAGGCACTGCAATGCAGTAAGAATGTCGTAAGCGAAACCGAGGGTGCCATGTTTGGTGATCTGGTTGTAGATCGGCCTTTAGGTAGTAATGTCTAGACGAGGATGAAGAAGAGGTTACAGAGGTTGAGGATCTGGGGAGGGTATAGTCCGTATAGTCCCAGACAAAAACGTAAGATAGGCGTCTTCCTAGAGTTCGAAGAGAATCTGCAGCCTCAAATAGGAGTGCATATCGTTATTATGCAGGCTTGTCACGTTTTGCTTTATATATCTCACGTACAGATCCAGGACTGTGATGGGAAAAGGGCAACTTTCTTTATGGTTCATAAATTAGGCTTAGAGATCCGTGCAGCGCTATAAATCTTGAGAGATGGCTAGTATTGGCAATTTGCTTTTTCTGGTCTATGTTGTTTAGTTATTGGTCAGCGAGACATTTCCCACCAGCTTGGTTACCGCTTCCTAAGATTTCCGTCCACAGGGTCGTTCGCATGATTTCTCAGCAGAATGTCCACGAGCCCACGAGTTCACGGGATATTGATTCTCCTGAGGTTCATGTCGAGTCACAATATATCCTTTCCATGGTAATCTTCCATTGAAGACGTCATATAAGAGTCGTCAAAATATCCATACATTTCTTGGCTTAACCTGTTATCAGGGCGTGGGCGCCAGTAAAATATAAGCAATTGACAATACACATCTCTAGACGGTTTCAAAAGTGAGACTCCAAGCTTAAATGGCTTTAATGAAGCAGAGGAATTCCCTATTTAGGATACAACATGTGATGTCAAAAAAATATATATAAAGTGTGGGCTGATCCAACGGGGAAAATAGGGATTATTGAGGCTGAACTGCATACGCTGTCTCTTTTTCTATAGTACTTTTTTCGACTTTTTTTTAAAAAAATCTAAGAAAACCAGGGATTTGGAACAAAATTAAATATATAGAAGAAGTAGGAATAGTACGATCTCAAGTCTAATATAAATCTAATAGAATCTAATAGGATCTAAGCGTATTCGGGGATTCAATAAGATCTAAGATGTAGGAAATGTAGTAATGCAGTAAAGTAAATCCTGTAGATACAGTCTAGTTCACAATTTCACAATTTGCTCTCACACAAAACATAAAAATGGAGTCTCGAAAGTCCGACACCGTTTGGTACAAGTAGGCGGGAAGACCCCGCCTAAACCCGAACTCATTCTTCACCTCACATCATACCACGTAAATTCAAAATGACGAGGGCATCAACCAAGGCCAAATATCCATATAATCTGGGGTCATACGGGAAGGTCATTACAACCAGCAGCCCTGAAGCTCAAATATGGTTTGACCGCGGTCTTGTGTGGGCGTATTCCTTCAATCATAAAGAATCAGTCATCTGTTTCAAACAGGCACTGGTCCATGATCCATTATGTGTGATGGCCTTTTGGGGTTTGGCCTATTCTCTCGGTCCCAACTACAATCAGCCCTGGGATTTCCTCGGCAGCGACTTGGCAGCCGTCGTGAAAAACACATATCAAGCGGCAATCAAAGCCCGCTTCCTCGCCCCAAATGCATCTCCCGTGGAACAGGCCCTCGCCAAGGCAATTTCCGCCCGCTATCAAAGTGATAAGCCTGCGAGCATGGATCAATATGCTATTCAAAATCTTGCATATGCCGATGCAATGAAAGAGGTATACGAAAATTTTACAGAAGATTTGGATGTGGCCACTCTGTACGCTGATTCCTTGATCAGCCTCACGCCCTGGAAATTGTGGGATATGGTGACCGGTACACCAAACCCAGGCACCCGTACCATGGAGGCAAAGAAAGTGTTAGAGACAGCTCTTCAACAGAAAGATGCCCACAAACACCCCGGTCTCTTGCACATCTACATTCATCTTATTGAAATGTCGCCATTCCCAGAATTAGGTCTCCGACCGGCAGATCACCTCCGCGACCTCGTTCCAGACGCGGGTCATGTCAATCATATGCCGTCCCATCTGGACGTGCTGGTTGGAGACTATCGAAATGCCGTGCGCGCTAACCAGCGTGCCGCGATTGCAGACGAGAAATATCTGGCACGGGAAGGCCCATTTAATTTCTACTCAGTCTATCGCATGCACACCTACCACTCGCTCATCTACGCAGCCATGTTTGCGGGCCAGAAAAAGACTGCATTTGAAGCCGTGGACCGCATGGAGGCAACTTTACCCAAAGAACTGCTCGCAGCCATGTCAGACTACATAGAATTCTTCATGTCTGTGCGCGCACACGTCATGGTGCGATTCGGCATGTGGGATGAACTTATCGAGATTGCGCTCCCCTCAGATCCAGAGCTGTACTGCATGACGATAGCGACGCTGCACTACGCCAAGGGGGTGGCATATGCAGCCACAGGGAACGTGCCGGATGCAGAGCGCCAGCGAGAGCTCTATCGGGCAGCGCGAAAGCGAGTGCCCGATACACGCTTGGACTGGCCCAACAAGTGCGTCGAGATTCTAGGGGTGGCGTCGGAAATGCTGGATGGCGAAATCGAGTACCGCCGGGGGAACTACACGGAGGCTTTCGAACATCTACGGCGCTCGATTGAATTGGATGATGGGTTGGGTTACAGTGAGCCCTGGAGTTGGATGCAGCCCACTCGTCATGCATATGCTGCTCTTTTGCTAGAGCAGGGTCATGTTGAGGATGCAGCGGCTGTCTACCAGGCGGATTTAGGTCTTGATAGCACTCTTATCCGTGCTCGGCAGCATCCGAATAACGTATGGGCTTTGCAGGGCTACCATGAATGTTTGATACGTCTTGGTCGACATGATGAGGCGCGCATTATTGCGCCGCAGTTGGCGATAGCGGTTGCTGTGGCTGATGTGCCAGTAACGTCTTCATGTTTCTGTCGTAGGGATACCTCAGAAGCGCCCAATGTTGGCAAAAGTTGTTGCAAATAAATTGATAATGTATGTAAATTGATTTTATAACTTATATTACCAACTCACTGAAGCAGAACAGCCTGTACTATTAAAATTAATCGCCGAGAGCGGTCAATGACGAATGGATTCGGTGTTTGGTACAATTTGATCAAACGCCGAACCAGAGCTAAACTCTTGTCCTAGGACACAAGTTCACTTCCACAGAAGCAACAGAAGCAACAGAAGCAACAAGTGGATAAAGGTAAATCCTTATCACATCAAAACCGTCCTCGTCGATCAGGGTATAGATATCACGTGTCCTGGTGACGTCCCTACAACGCAGAGATAACCATTCGTTTGACTGCGTTCCTCAAATTAGACAAGATGCCTCGTGTTACAAAACCACCAGTGAAAGCTGCGTGCCTGGCATGGTGCGCCACATACCCTGTCGACCGCTCATTCTTGGGTTAAGCTCATATTTTGTAGCCGAGCGTCGAAAACACGTTGTGATGGCCAACATCCCTGTGGCAGTGTATGTCCAACACCTTACCCTACCATTCATTGGCTAATACATTGATTAGTGCTCTAGCAGAAAAAGAGAATGCAGTTATCAACCCAGTCGCCGGGGTGGTCCTCGCAGAGGAGCCCGATATGAAGAGGTACAACGACGACCAACTACAGACAACTCACTGCGATCTTCAGTATCAGATGCCCCCGATGAAATCGGTAGCTCAACTCTTCCTGAATAATAAGTCATCACAGTATCTAACTATTGACCAGAACCATTCCTTGATAATATGATCGGTCTGGTCTCGCCATTCGCTGGGATTCACAATCTCGACCTCTCCCCGGATTCTCTTTCAATTGCAGATGGAGCCCACCAGATCTGGGGTCAACTCACCCCACATGATGATGGCTCCTTTGACTCGGTCCCTGCGCATGATGTGGGGCCATCTGTAATACGCGCCTATCAATCCGAAGCGGAAATGTTGGTGCAAAAGAGACATGATTCAAAGCATGACCGGCTGCTAATCGGACATACAGTGCCAATGCCTACTATATTTATATTCATCCATATCTACCTTTGTTGCCGCCTCCAGTGGCACCGCAGCATGAAGAACATCCTACTGTGATCAGGCCATTTGGAGAAAGTCAACAAGCGGAAAAGTCACATATGCCTTATTGGCCGACGTCGTCTTTGAGTCTTGCTTTGTCCGCAATGCTGGTCCTCATACCTACCGCCGAAGATGCCTTTCCGATGGCTGAAACGAACCTTGGGCTTAGGCGTTCGTACGCACAGCTATTTGCCCAGGCGGCGTTGACTGCTGTGGAAAGTGAGACTGATAATCTGGCGCCTGTTTTGAGCACTAATGTACCTGAGATAGGATCCTCTCGAGAACAAACTGATTTGCATCCTCAGGTACCTGCTCAGCTTTATCCGGTTTTGGCTCTCGTGGTCCTTGCTATTTATGAGTATTGCCAGCGTGGTAATATATCCAGAATGCGGGCTCGAGGTAACCAGGCTATCACAACTGCTATGGATATCTCCATTCATAGACTTGACTCGACAACGACGGATTATTCTGAGGCACAGAGACGAGCTTGGTGGATGACGGTTAGTGCGAGAGATAGATTATTGTCGGGGCTGTTGCTCACCAGTTCTATAGATTTGGGTCACATATCTATCCTCGAGCCTCCATCTTTCTGTAAGAGAACATATAAATACACTTACTAACTGATCTTGACTAATAGATATCTGCATAGCCACCAATTGTTTCTATGGATGATCCACGAATAACCACTCCTTTTCCCAAATTTGATGTTTATCTAGAGGTATCCATACTTCTTCCATAATCCTTCAATCATCTACTGACTGTTACAAGCCATGGCCCATAATGATGAAAGCACAAGAGGCTCTCTTCGAGTCTAGCAAAATGGTCCAGAACATCGAACGTGTAGGTGAGACAGCCGTTCTCTCCGATTTCGGCACCCGAATACGCAACCTGGATTCAAATCTTGTATCTTTAATTGGCGAAGCAGACCGTCATCTTTTGACGACTTTCGATGGAGAGCCAGAGGCATCTGTAGCACAAACCATGTGGATGGTCAGCCGCATGTTCATCCATGCGTGAGTGAATCATCTCCAACCTCAACACATATTGTATTGACACTTCCAGTGCTCGCACTCGATTACACCGCTTCCGCGCATTCATGGATATCCCCCTTTTCCTAGACAAATACTGCGATCTTGCAGCAATCAGCAGCGCAGATTTTCCGCACGAAACATCTGCTCCCAAATGGGCGACAGACTGCGAGACCTCGTTCCCGTTCACCGAGCAAGAATCCTCAATTATTTGCCTCAAGTCTGCGCTCGTGGTAACGACAATCTATCGCAATTTGCCGTATCCGAATCCACTTGCGTCAGCTCCTTCTAGGTCCACGACATATCCGAAAACCATTCCTTACTTTGCTTGCTCAGCTATGCAAAGCTGCTACGCTCTTCTTATGCTATTGCATCGACTGCGTGCTTCTCTAGCGATGGATCGGCTTGAAAGTTGTTATCACCTGCTTAATAACCCTACTCCTGCCTCGGAGATTGCTGATGCTGAGAGATTGAGGGAGGAGTTGCGAAATGGGGTGGAAATACTTGGTAGATATCTGAAGTCGGATGTTATTTTTGAGGGTGTTGGGGGTATGGGACGGGAAATCGAGGGCGCTTATCTGGCTGCTTTTCCAAATTGCTTTGAGATCTAGGTATATGAATCCTCAGAAGTTGGAATTAAGATCTCAAGTAAAACGGTGTTATGACTGATTTTCCAAGAATGGTATCATGAAAATACCCCGAATTGAAATTGGATCGTCTAACCAATTGTTCGAATATATAAATTATATGCAGACCCTCGCTATGCTATAGTGTTAGTTTGCAATGTAACTATAGAATCAAACATGCGAGCAACATATAGCTCAGCAACCACCACTTACGCTACTGTTCAGTCTTAGTACACTGACATATTTCACCTCAAATATCTCGAAAATAACTTGTCATTATTCAAGCTAATAATCAATAGAGTCTCGGAGACGTATTTATGTGAAGGCGATCTGGTCACGTTCTCAGGAAAATTGATTAGCCGAGCCGACGATATCACCCTTGGGTTCTCCTGCGCGTGAAGTAATCTATAGGTCGATGATGGTGTTGAATTGTCGAGCCTATGTTTGATTCTAACGAGAGTAAACATGGCCGGCAACATATCCATCTCGCCATTTCTGTTCCACCGTTGCTTCCAGCAAGCATGGTCCGGATCGCGACGGGCTCGCGTCAACTATGGCAGCACTAAATATGGAAAGAAATCCGGTGATAATGACATTCTGCAGCTTCCACGGAGGTTTGGTAAGTTTAAAAGATTGAAAAATTACGCACTCGTTGATTGTATCTCAAGAGCTTATCGCTGATGCGCGAGATGGTAGGAATTGCTGTAAGTGGTGGCGCCGACTCCATGGCTCTGGCATACCTATGCAAGCAACTGGAGCGTTCTTCTGATGTTGCTGGGGCCATTTCTGTCACTGCTTTTGTGGTAGATCATCGTGCCCGTCCGGAAAGCACTGTTGAGGCACAAAAGGTTGCTGGCTGGCTTCGTGACATGGGTACGTTCCAAATCAAAATGGACATTCTTGGAATATTATTTTGACCATTCTAAAACAGACATAAGAACCCATATTCTCAGTTTGGACTGGTCTGAAATTATTTCAAATCAGAATCAATTATCTTCTACAAAGTCCGGAGTGTCAAGTTCATTGCCATCCGCCTTCGAGACACATGCTCGACGACTCCGTTTCCAAGCCCTTGGCATAGCTTGTCATGAGTTCAAACTTGAAACATTGCTATTAGGCCATCATCAAGATGACAACGTCGAAACCACCATTTGGCGGCTCTCCTCCGGGGCAACTGGTTTAGGTCTCGGCGGCATCCCCGAAGTTGCTCGAATCCCCGAATGCCATGGTCTCTTCGGGGCTTCTGAGAGCTGGTCAACTACATCAATCCCGACAAGATCGCCGACAAAACGCCAACCCAAAATTCGGTTCGATAACCAGAAGAATGGGTTCATCAGTCTTCCCGACTCAAACATTAGGACAGATAAAATCTACTCCAGTCTCACATCCAATGTAAACATGGCAAGCCCCGGCATATTTATCTGTCGACCTCTACTCTCTTTCACCAAAACAAGTCTTCTGGAGACCTGCCACAAAAACCAAGTCCCTTACGTCTCCGACCCAACAAATTTCGACCCAACTCTCACACCCCGGAACGCCATCCGCAGCCTTCGCACCTCAAACTCCTTACCCCGTGCACTTGAATCACAATCTATCCTCTCCCTAATCCGTTCAAGCCAAGACATCCTCCAAAGGTCAAACGAGCTTTCAAACTATCTCCTCTCATCCCAATGCCGAATCCTAGATTTCAACCCTAAGGCAGGGTCGGCGGTCATTCAATTCTTAGAGACAAGTCCAGCATCCATGGACCCGCAACTGGCAACACTATCAGTCTCTCGAATGCGGCAGATCCAAACCATAGTTCTCCGCCGCATCACAGAACTACTCTCTCCATTTCCCGATAGCCATTTCTCGCTACGCAGCTATGAACCGCTAGTTCCCAATGTGTTCCCGGGTCCAGATGGCTCTGGCTCTCATGATGCAGACGCTAAACCCAATGACCAGAAAAGAAACAAAGCCTTCACGGTAGCGGGTGTTCTGTACCAGCGTCTCTCGAACGAAAACTCCACGTTTGATAAGTCCCAAAACACACATCTCGGTGATAATATCTGGTTGTTATCCCGACAACCATTTATGAAAGGTCGTGACCCCGTGACGCAAATTAACGTCTCGCCCAGTGGGAGTTTTACTCCGTGGGTTTTATGGGATAACCGGTACTGGATGCGACTTCGTCTTGTTCCAATCGACCGTGATCCCAATGAACTGGAGGATAATTTGATAAGTCTTACTCTTACGATACGACCGTTCCACAAATTTGATATGGAACGGATACGCAAGGATGCGGTTATTTCAAGGCAGGGGAAAATGAAGGATTCTGCTGCTGGACAGGAAATTCCCGGGATTTTTGAGCACCTTAAAGCCGTCTTGTCTGCCGAGGCGCCTGCTCAGCTGCGCTTCACTTTACCTGTGATATCAAGGGAAGGTATAATTTCTAAGCCAGGAAAGCCTCTGGGTCAGAAGGTTTGGCAACAGCTGGCATTACCGACTTTGGACTATCGTCTATCCGGTCATTCAACCAAGTACGCCTCTCCCAATGAGGTGGAATTGATACACCTACGCTGTCGCTGGAACCTGAAATGGCAGTGGATGTACAAAATGATTGACACTGAGGCACTACGCCTGATGGACTGGCCGGTGGGTAAAGATACCGAAGACTCTTAGTGTACATGACAATAACACCTAAACAAACAAAAAAAGCAAGCCCTGTGAAAACTTGATCTCCTAAGCTATGCATGCATGGTCAATGGCTATCTGTGCGGATAGGCCAATATGAAGGGTAACAAGAAATAGAAATGAATACAAGTATGAAGGGCTCATGGATATGTATGCAAATGAATGGGTGTCCAAATGAAAGTAGAAAAGGCTTGTGCGGTATCAAAATACAAGGTGAAAGGAAAAGATAAATATGACAGGTGTCAGGTTGTCGAGCAAAATGCTCGGGTGGGTGAAAGGAATGAGTAATGGGACAAGCCCTGGATGATGTGATGCTGTATATTGAGTCATTGTTCGCTCGCCTTGAGCAATGCAACGGCAGCTGACTGGGCTCGAAGACCTCCGACTTCTCGTTTTAAGCGGAAGTTTTCTTTCTTCACTCGGCCGATCTCGTCTAGAGCACTCGCCAGCTGAGACTTCAAGGCGTCTTCTGCATGGCCCAATCGGACGTCCTTTGCAATCTTGCTGAGCTCGGTATTAAACCGGTCATAAAGAGCCTCGTTCTCGGCGCTTGCCTCGCGATAAAGCTCGTCCAATTTCTTCACGCGCTTCTCGCTAAGGACCAAGGATGACTCCAGATCTCGTTCAAGAGCCGTTGTGCGGCCATTGTATTCCCCAGCAAGCGTCTCAACCCGGGCTTCAAGCTTGCGCATGCGAGCTTCGAGAGATGCGGCGGTAGCAGAAGATGGATTGGTGTCTGTACGGTCAAAATCAAACTCAAGGTTCAGTGCATTGGATTGCCTTGGGGGTGTGAACTTCAGAGAACGTAATTCGTTACCAAGCTCTGAGAGCTCGTCTTTCAGGCCCAATTGAGTAGAGGTTTGGGTCTTCTTCTCTACTTGAACACGATCACGTAACTAGGAAAATATCAGTACAGTCATTATCAAGACAAATACAATGTGACAAACCTTTTGTGGGCTTTGCATCCGCGGTTTCTGCGATTTTTGCAAGGAAGACGAAGATTGTGGTCGCTTAGTATCGGGGGCGTTGGCGGTTGGCCGCTCTCGAAGGCCCGGAGTCCGCTGAGGGATGCTTGACACGTGGGATCGCCTTCTTGACTCTTCTACTGGCGATTCTGATACACTACCCCTGGCCTTGGCTGTACGCTCTGTCTGTGGACTCCTGGGATCAATGTTCTCCTTCCTACTCGGCGTAGAAGGACGGGGTGGAGACAGACGGCGGATGGGTGACCCTAATCGCGTCGGTGAACTGGATTTTGCTGGTGGCTTAGAACGCATTGGTGATTGACCGCGCATAGGTGATTGTGATGTTGGTATGTAACTACTCTGTGGCCTGGATTGTTTGGTGGGCGTCACCACTTCTCCTCGCGGGCGGCTGGAAGGGGTCGTCGGGCGGAGCTGCTGAGTCGGAGAGATGCTGGATGCATCCGAGGATGATGTGTGTGGTCGTAAATCCGAAAGAGAGCTCCTTCGTTTTCTGCGAGTCCTTGGCATGGCGTCTTCAGAGAATCCTCGGAAGGAAGATAGAGAAGGCGGCTTTTCGTAGCCAGTCCCCGGCCTCGAAAGTTGCTCCTCAGATGCGAACCCGTATGGACGATCGCGGGATGTAGGGCGATCGCGAGTTGCAGGGCGATCACGAGATGTAGGGCGATCACGAGATGTAGGACGATCGCGAGATGTAGGGCGAAGGAACCCGAGGCGAGCGTCCACGTCAGTCGACTTCGAACGTAGCAGACTGCCCTTCGGTGTATTGGGCTCTGAGCCGGCCGGACTTTGCTTTTTGCTCAATGTCCGTAGAATTGATGCGACTTTGCTTTCACCTTCATTCTTCGAAGTATCCCGGTGTATACCAAAGCCAAAACGTTTCCGGAAAGAGGAAGAGTTGGAACCGACAGATCCGGCATTAGTATGAGATTTCGATTGACCGTAGGTCAGTGTTCCTTCCACCGAGGTACCCCCAGGAAGGAATTCTTCAAAGAGGTTGTCAAAGTCTTCAACCAGCCGATCCAAAAGGGAGACATGATGGCTGGGATCTCCGTCTTCGGTGAGTACCTCGGCAAATGCCATCGTCAAAGCACCACGATCTCCGTCGTTCCCAGATGCATCGAGTAGCTCAGCAAGTAGTCGAATAATCGCAGCTAGAGCTCGCCTATTTTGTGGGCTCATGTCTGTCACGAATTTCCGGAACTGCTCATCAAAATCTCGTGGTATCATGGTGTCAAACTGGCTCTGAACCCATTTCAGAGAAGAGGAGCTCAAGACAGGGCCCATGCTTCTTCTCCAAGCGTTAGCCAGGAAGGTTTCAAATGCGACGAAAAGTGTATCAACCGGCACTTCAGCAGCAGCCTGGATTCTACTTGGGTCTTCCAACAAAATGTTGTAAAGCTCATTGACCGGCGCCCGGTCAACCTGATCTCTTACCCGAAGCATTCTGCCCAGGATGTTTCCACTCCGAGACTGCAGAGAAAGTACATAAGCTGCGAATGTCTGTTCGAGCAACCCGAACTGAGTATCCAATCCATTGGAGGCGGTTGTCCCAACAACAGATATTTTACCCCCGTTTTCCTCCTTCTCTTTGTCTTTGTCCTTCTCTTTATCTTTTCCGGGGAATGTTGAAGGTAAAGTGTTTGATCTTGACAGAGTGCCTCTTGGCGGCGGCATTTTTGGGAATTCGCCGGTAAGAGTGGCCGATCCTGGTCCTTTCAGCGTGGGAGCATTATCACGGCTACCTCCCAACAGATTTGAGATCAGTTTGGTTGGCGAAGGTGGCCGGAAGCCCCGCGAAGACTTGACTTGCATGATTAAGCTGCTGGCGATATACCGAAGGATTTCAAAATTGGAATGAACCAGTGGGTCTGTCAATGCTGGGTTTCGGGGGCTATGCAGAGGCAAGAGCAAATATTGGACTTTGTGTCTATATGTCAGTGTCAAGAAAACAGAACTGTCAAGGGAGAGTCACTTACGCCGCCGTGAAAGAGTGGGAATGAACGAGTCCACCGTGATCACATCCGTAGACCCAGATCCAACTACAGAATCGATATCTAGTCTGTATTGATCTCCATTTGGAGGAGATATCGATATGATGACCTCAAGATCGGAATCTCTCAACATTTGACCACAGGTCGCCTTGGATGCATTAAACACAACTCGTATAGGGGATGACTGAATCTGGTTGAGGGCGGCGCTTTCGCCGTCCTCGCACACACAGGCCAGTATTCCCACGTTACTCGCAGCTCCGGTGGGGGGCTTCGTAGTGTCCATTTACCCCCTTCTCTTTCGCTCTCGGGGAATCGACCCTCAATCTTCGCTTTGGATATTTCTTCGATCAGTCGGTTGACTCTTCCTTCATACGTTCCAGCCAATTCCAACGCAAGCAGTTCTGCTCCAGCGCTTGTCTCATCTGGCATGGACTTGCTTGAAATTGGCACAACAAACAAAATCCTACCACATGTGGATTGCATACAACGCACATTATGGAAGTCTAGCACCTGCACAACTTGGAGTTCTGATCGCGGTAAAGACGTGGACATATCGGTGGTTGAAGAGACCGCGTTGTCGATATCAGCCAGCACCCCACGGGCCGTGGCCCGGCTTTCGGCGGGCTTTGCCAGGAGGACCAGGCAGTTCTTATAAAGAAGCATGATCCCTGTGCTGTTGCCAGATGACTGTGTGTCCATACGGTAGGGAGGGGTAATCTCGCTGAAGTCGACTGCGGTAATCAGCCGACCTTCAGGGAACGTCTTCGCTGGCCATCCGTTGACCAGCTCTTTCAGGCGTTGAAGGCTTTGGGCGTGGCTCGATGGGGAATTATTATCTAGCGCACAGATATCCTTCACGATGTCGCGTGCTTTGAGCAGAGTTCGCACGGCAGGATGGACCAAAGGGAGATTGCTAGTCATTGTGTCAATCAGCAGACTGTATCGAGGTAGTCGCTGAACGGGTTCCATCAACAAAGAGCGCAGTCTTTGCTCTCCCGTCTCGTATACTCTCTTCGAAAAGCTAGAATTCTTATCTTTCATGAACAAATTCAGAGTTTGCGTAAAGCCTGTATGTGCTCGCATGTAGTCTCCGTATGGCTGTGAAAATTGTGGTAGCCATTCAAAGAGCGACTTTGCGAATGCCAGAGCTCCAAGCGGATCCGCTCTATCTCTGGGCAAACCCCGATGATTAGAAGGGAGCTCTGTGTCCTGACCAATATATGTGATGGCATCTTTCTCTGTTTCATCAAGCACTTGTCGAATGACATCGAGAAAGCCCAGGTTGACTTCCAGAATTTCGTTCAAACATGGTGGGAACAATGCCGCCAAGGCTACCTCGTCGGGGCTGTTACTTGATGGCCCTCTGCTCACGGCCTTCTGTCGGAACTCATCGGCCACTTCGTGGACAAGAGAATACAGTTTGGCAACATATCTCTCTTCGGTGTCCACAAGCTCACACATAGTGAGACGAAGGGCTTCTTTCTGGCTTCTGGCGAACAACCGCGATTTGCTGACATTCGTTGGTTGAGACGGCGCACGCTTCATTCGAGATGTTGGCAAAAACATAGGATCTCCCAACGCCTCTATCAGGGGTGTGTATGGACCGTATTGGGGATTCTGACTCCCCTCGAGGTCTGATCCCGCACTCTCGCGCCGGTGGAATGGCTGTATAGTACCCGTAGGAAGCACCACATCAAGGTCAATCCAAGACACCTTCTGTTCTTGATATGCGCTCCGGATATCCTGAATAATCTCCAACGAATCATCCACCTTTGTCATCCGATTGGCGATATCTGCCGCATGCATCTCATCGAACATCTTGGGAACCTTTCCTCCCGGTCTTCCAGTCCGAGCCACCCCAGTCAAACGGTGTTTAACCGGTTCAGACAGCTCGGCAAAATACCTCAGCATGCTGACTGCAAGTCCGCGACACACCTCATCACCTTGTTTTTCGCGGGGGAGGTGGTTGACCGCAGCATACACGGGGGCAGCCGGGGACACCGTAATTCGA